ATGGATGGATGAGTGGATGGATGGATGGATGAGTGGATGGATGGATGAGTGAAAGGATGGATGGGTAGATAGTTAGATAGAAGGATGTTTGGGAAGAAAGATGGGTGAATGGATGGGTGAGTGGATGTCTGGAGGAACAAATGAAGAAAGGAATGAATGAATGAATGAATGAATGAATGAAGCAGGTGACAGGCCTGTCACCAGCAGAGCAGATAGAGCACATGGCCTCTCATCCCTTTCACCTGCCGGCTCCCATCTCCCCAATGGCTATTTATCCTGCCTATCGGGACCTGAGATTGAAAAAAGTGGGGGCATATGTGAGAGGCAGTGAATGTGACAGATAGCGCTGTCCAGGGCAACAGAAACAGGGAGTGCTTCTCCATCAGGCAGTGGGGATATCACCCATAGTAATGAAAAGTGTAAGGTAATTTTAGTGGTAGCCAGATTGAGTTGTCATTTTCAGTGAAAAGCAATTGGGGAGGACTATTGTTTCCATCCCGTATTTCATTCTTTTCCTTTATCCTGAGGTCCCCCAGAGTAAAGGATCTGTAGATGTAATTCAACATCTCATAGATACTTGGCGGGAAAATTGATTACTTCTGATCACCCAGAGTTGGTGTTAATCATTAAACTAAGGCCTGGCTTTAAAAGGGTGCACATCATAGACCAGTGACTCTCTAAGTTTATTATGCATTAGAATTATCTGGAGGCCTTGTTAAAACACAAATTGCTGATTTGGTATGTCTGAGATGAGGCCCAAGGATTTTCCATTTTAACAAGTTCCCAGGCGATGCAGATGCTGCTGGTCCAGGGACTGTGCTTGGAGAATCACTGTTAAAGGGAGATCTAGACTTGCCTAGAAAGGAGTAAACTAAGGAGTGATCAAAACCAGTCATTGCTGACCTTATGAAAGAATGCACTACCATACTTCTTAACCAGTTGGTTCATTCACCTTATTTTTGTTGTTTAAAGATACTGAACTACTTAAGCAACTGCAGGGGTTGAAAAATATCAGAGAAACTTTAAATTGTGGGGACTTGTCAGGGACAAATATTAAACTATCAAAGGAGGCTGTAGATGGAAGAACCAGAGAATTAGGAAATGGTCAAGGGGTATGTGGTCTCATAGGAAGAAAGGCATTCAAGAAGGGTGATCAGGGGTGCCATGTGTCATAAAGAGATCAGGCAGAGCTAAAGAGCCCTCAGGAGGCCCCTGATGACCACAGGAGAGCAGTGTCCATGGAGAGGTCAGGGTGGAAGCCTGAATGAAGGGTGCTGAAAACTGCATGGCAGGTGAGCATTTTTCTAGAAGGTCATCTGGGAAGGATGGAAGGACAGTTAGCCTGCAACTAAAGAGGAGAGAACCTAGATCCTAGGAGAGTATTTCTTTCTTTCTGTTCCTCCAAGATTAGGGAGAATCCATTTGGAAGCAATGATAGAGTCTGATGTGTTTGTATTAATCCAGATTATACAATTCCATTTATATAGATTCTTGTGACATAACTTTCACAGAATAGATGTGTCTATACATTTTCCAGCCATCTAGAAAATATAGAAGTACATAGAAAGCCGAAAGATTGGAGTTGAGGAGAGGGGCCCGAAGAATTCTAGTCTAAACCTTTTCTTTCACAGATGAAAACACCTAGACCCAAATAAATTTGGTGATAAAATCTTGTGTATGGTGGTGAAAACTACTTACCACTGTATCACTTTTAGCCATTCAATTTTTTTAAATGAAAACATTCAAATCTGTAGTTTACCTACCACATAGTTAAAAAATATATATCCATCTATCCATCTGTATATGTATGAGGTCTTGAAAAGTATACGTCTTTCATACAAAAATTCTATTTTTATGAATTTATTCTAAGGAAATAATTTCTGAGTGCATGAAAACGTGTATACAAAAACCAGTGGCAATGTTTTTATACTATCGAAAAATTGTAAGCAATCTGAAAAGGCCAATGGTAGCATATTTGTTAAGGAAATGACAGTGTAGCCAAGAACTGACTATGCTCTAGCCATTGCAAATGATGAAGTGTGCTTAGAGTGACTGACAGATCGCGTTCACTCCAAAGCGGAAGGTGACAATGTAATCAGAGCCGGGAGTCGGTCGGGGAGTGTGGCTGCCGAAATGCAACCAGGGCGCCGACTACTAGATTTTCATGAGTCCCTCTGCCCAGTGTGAAAGCAGCTATTTTTGAAGTGATAGCTTTATCAGGTTTCCCTGAAACATTTTCTTTAGTTTTCACACAAACAATCCTCTTTTTGTGTTTCTAGCTTATTGGTCTACAGTGAATATTTAATTCAGTTTTGCAACAGTGATAACTGGCACAAACAGATTCAAGAACAAATGTAACAGACTCCGAGCTTTGATTTCAACTGGTAGAAATGCAAGTGTGCAGGTGCATCCCCCAGGGAGGCCCGTGTGCCTGCCCCCTTGCCTGTACACGATGGACACATCAATAGTTGAATGGTGTCGGGAGAGAAGGGGGATGCATGGTGATCTCAATGAGATGATAAAGGGGAGGTTGCTAAAGAGCACTTGTACTGTATGTTAGGTGGAAAAAAGCGTGCTACGATGCCATAGGAATTATCTCATTTTTGTGAAAAAATCTGTAAATGGATATAAATGGAGGTATTAATAGGAATGCTTACCTTATTCTTTATATTTTCAGCTATATTCTGAAATCTTCGCCATTAGTTTTATAATTGGGAAAAAGAATAAAGCTCTCTCCACTTTTGGAAAGGTAAACTGTAGCAAATTCAAGCAAGTGCAAATGAATTCATGGTTTATTGCATATATGGTGGCTAAAGAACATAATCTTATATTTCAGTAGTTTTGAGATGTACTGTGTCATTTTGGCACTTGGTTAGATATAGAAATAAGATTTCAAACCAAGTAAATGTTGAGAACTGTAATTTTCTTGTAAATCCTAGAAAGGCTACAAAGCACATTAGCACATTATACTTCTCTTCTGGAAAAAAAAGTCTTAGGTCCAACAGAAGCAAAGCCAGTCAATCCTTAGTAAGTATCGATGAAGGTCTCTGGATCGTAAAGTACACAGTTCAGATTACAATATACCTACAGCACCTATGCACAGAAATGCTATCTGCTTAAGCTGGTGGTTAGGCCACCAGGGTTTTTAGAGTATTTCCTGACACCTGTGAAGTTGGTAAATATTTCCTGTTTTTGTTGTGTCTAGAGAAAACAGGAATTTACAACTTGGAAGTGATTATTAAACAAACGTTGTAAACGATGTCTCCATAGGCACTTCCCTGGCATAAAGCTTCATTTTCTTCAAATCTATCATAACATATTTCTCTTAAGGGAAAAATGTAATTGTCATGCTAATCTGACAGCTAACTGAATGGTAGAAGACAAACCTTATAACCAGGAGGAATGGCACCTATCTTAGTCACGCCGTGTGTACTATGCATTTTCAGAATTTAAATATAAATTCAATCATAAGCCTTTAAAGGTAAGCAAAAGTGAGCAAGTGAACAGTGAATTCCCATTGGTGGATCTGTGCTAACCACACATAGTTAGCCTATTTGAAAAATATTTTTGATTATCTCAAGTAGTGTGGAAGGACCCTAGAGTTTTTGAGTCAAAGGGAGTCA